ACATAAAAAAGAAGGAGGGGAGATAAGGACGATAGATGTTTGATAGGAAAGAAGGAGCAAACCACACCAGAGCACCCGCCAACCACCCACAAACAATAGTTAATATCTAGTGAAGAGATAGAGTAAAGACAGACAAACAGATGGAAGCAACAATGGGAAAGAAAACAGGTATCCACAACAACAACAGCAACAAGAAAGGCAGTGGCTCTGGTGAAGAACATGCTCTTCAGGACTCCAAACAATGCGGAAGGATATGCTATCACACACACACAACAGCAACAGCAAGGACAAAACTAAAAACAACTGAGTCCGTTGAAGCAAAGACTCACCTGACTCAACACAGACAGTCCGTTTTGGTAGAGCAGACTCAGGTGATCCTCTGGAGTCTCCACCAGAACTTTGTAAATGCTGAAACAAAATACACAATATTGTAAATATTTGACATTGATACAGTTCTACACTCATTTAAACACAGGTTGATTATCTACTAAGGAAACACCTCACTTTAAGTACAACTTCCATTAGACTGAGCTGGTGTTAAAGAGCCTTAAAACCTGTCAGTAAAAAAAAAATCCTTTGGGAATCTCTTCAAGACTAATACAGGACACTTATCAGCAAATAATCCCCAACACTTTGTAGATGCCGAAAGAAAACACACAAAGGTGCAATATATGATTGGTCTTGATTATACAAAGAAGCATCTAAGTCATAGCATATGTCATCTGCCAAAGGCCAGAGAAAGTATCAAAGAACCTTGAAAACTCCCCAACCCGTCTCTGAAATATAATATTGAAGATCATTTGGTCGGTTTTAAGCACAAGGGGGCTATCCCGATAAATGCTGTTTTGAGAAATTCGAAGTTTAAGTTTTTGGATCCTTATTCAGTCTCTTTAAAAGACGAGGAGAGCTTTCTCTATAACCAAACAAATACATACCAATGAAACCAAACTTCTCCTATAGGTAGGGCAGTGCCCACTTTTGGTGTAGGTCAAGATTTCTGGAAACCCCCGAAATCTGGGTTAGCCCGCTTGTCCTTAAAAGCGATAATTTTCATAGCCCCTACTCCCATGTACACACAGCTCTAGACGCTTTACATAAAACCAAGAGAAAAAAGCAATAGCTGTGAAGAAATAAAAGATTTTTTTAAGTGAATGAAGAAATCACACACATACACACGCATACGACATAACTGACTACTCACGAGCACAGAGTCTGCCACATGACCCTTGGGTCTAGCCCCGTGGTGCACACCGTCAGAATTGTCTTGCGGAAGTTCTCAACTGCTGCGGCCTCCTCGGCACAGTGCTCTGGCTTGCGATCCGCCATCATCTTCATCATGCACATCAACTCCTCTGTCGCCTGGGGGAACAGAGGAAATATTATAAGTATTAGTCTTGTAATAATAAGAATAATGATAACAATACTTACATTTATATAGTGCATATTCCCCTGCTCAACAGCAAGCTCTATGTGCTTTACAACAATTATTACCCCCATCAGACCCTAGAACACTCGCAAACATTCTCCTCTTTTACAACTCCCTTGACATAATTAAAATCATTTACGAGGTGGACTGCTTTAAGCAGAAGGGCATGAGCTCAGCAACTACTGGAAAAATAACAACAGTAAAAAATATTTACAGACACCAGTCATTTTTTCTTCTTTGTAAAGAAAAGCACATGGACACAACAAAGGTCATTTGAGCTGGAAAAAAGCATGAAAGGAACAACACAACAAAAGGATAGTATAATAGTAGGCACAACCAGCAGCACCCTCCAACAACCTGCAATGAAGCCTCAGTTTTGTCGTACACATGCCCAATCTAATATGACATTGAAAATCAAAACATAGCAAAAAACAACAACAAACAAACAAAATGAAATCAACAATAAAAACTTTTTGAAGACTGAATCTTTTTTTTTAACCAACAAATAGAGCAAGCATTTCATGGTAACAGACTAGAAAATTTATCACTCATTATGGTCGGCCAGAAAATTTAACATGCAGGGAAAAGAGTAAGAAAACTCCTTCGCAAGAGTCCTTACCTCCAAATACTGATGCGGGTACGGTAAGACGTTCTTGAAAGCCCATTGTAGGTTCTGGTGACCAGCCAGCTGGCGCATGAAGGCCGTGGAATATTCACAGGCCATCCGGAGCAGGCCGTAGTACGCGGGCAGGAGGCCCCGGTTGAAGTGGATATTTTGCTCATCCTCATGATCCGCTCTAAAGACACAGCAGATAAATCATCATTGTCAGCGAATAATATCGGTACTAGCAGCAAAAAATATCAATACAAGCAAATGAAGTCTATGATAGCATAAAAGGAATAAAGGTGAGATATCCTGTGGAGGGGACATAAGGCCTACCCAAGGAGTTGAATCCTACTGTTAAAAAGAATTATTTTTTTTCACTTTTCAAACACATTTACGTTAGCTAAGACTGCATTATACTAATTACATTTTTTCCTATTATATAGGGAACGGGCAGGGTGAGGGAGAGAATTACAACAAACAAACAAATACACAAACTGCTTTTTTCAATTAGAGAGTCAAGAGAAAGGGGGAAAAATAAAGGAGCACAGAAGAGAACAGGATGTTTTTATTTTTTATTTAGTAGAGGGTTTTACAGTGCTCGCAACTGCATAAGGTCATAAGAGTGAGTGAGACACATTAAACATTTTCAGCTGATTTTGTTTTGCAGCGAATTTAGATGGGATGACACAAGAGATTTTCCATTGATTGAGAAACATGATGATATTTTACAATGTAGGTCTGCATATGTACAACTTTTGATATAAGAGTGACACAAGGCATGCTCCACTGTCACTGGCTGAAGCATTACCTCCCACAGTCTGGATACAATGAGCTGGGTGAAGGATGGTTGACCAGGCAAGCGACCAGAGAACTCCGTCAGCAAGGTCAAAAGGTCAAAGAAAGGTTTTGCCAGCTGAGGGGAAAAAAAATTAAATCTGGTTGAAACAAAACAGTCATTCGATAAAATGAACAAGGACCCTACAGCCCTTCAAATGCAAACTTCTGCTTCTTACAAAATCGGTTTTTCCCGACGTTTTTGTCAGAAATACTGTGGTAACCAAAAATATTGATCTCTTTAAATAACTTTTTAAATGTATTTTTCTACTAGTGTTTACAAAAATCTTCCAAAAATACAATATCTGCTCATTAAAAAAAATCTCTACAAAACAACGGAAAAAGAGGAGGCTTGTACAGAAATCTATCAACACCAGCCTGAAATATGTATCCAAGGAGAACATTTTTTACTTTTTTTTTCTTTATTAACTCTTGTCCTGCGTCTGTGCTGAGATGCGAATCTTATCAGCAACCGATTACGTCGGACGTTCCGGGCAAGCCGCCGGGGTCACTCAGTGTGTACTGTTGTTGTACAGCGCGCGTGTCGGGAAACGTGTGTTTTCGCCATAAATACCGTGGGAGTGTGTTAATCGATTATGAAAATAACGCTCTATCTTTCATAGCTTTCTATTAATAAAGTGTTACAAACACATTAATAACCCCCTCTCACAAGCTGTTAAGACATTACGAGTAGTTACGCCCATTCGAATAACCTTTCTAGACGCTCTTGTTGTTATGAATGACCTGAGGTTCGAAAGAGGATAATATAGGTCAATTTCCGAATGTTTTGCACTCAAATTGTTCTTTGTACCAGCACAATGGTATTCAAAAAGTATCAAACAAGCTTATTTTTTATCAGGTAGTATCATTTCATACAAAATCAAGCTCATTTGAAAGATTTTGTATAGAAAAATGGATGTCTTGTTTCCTGACTATCCTTTCGAGCTCCTCATGTCTAAGTGGGTCAATGGACAAACATCTAGTGCTACCAACTTGGCGTGTTTTGAATGAGACGCATGCCTCGATTACGAATTAACGCAGGCGGTTCTAGAAGAAGGCCACAAACGCACACAAACTCAAGCAGACTGACGCACACACACTTGACCTGCGTGAATGGGGATCAGACTCGGGACCTGAATTTCACATAAGATGATGCGCGGTGCGCGTGCCCTGAGCCAGGGGCTAGACTGACTCGGGACCAGAACGTAGGCGAGGTGCCGAAATAGGCTTATCGGGCGACATAAACCCGGCCCCCGCAGGACAAGGGTTAACATAGTAGAAAGAAATTGAATCTAAGCATTACACTCAGCTCTATTTGCTTTAATAAAACGCAAAGCCTCAATTTTGTAGACCATAAATAAGAAGAAACTTGACAGTGGAGAACTCACATCACCAAGTTTCTTGATGTTGTTGAAGATCGTTGTAACAATCTGAAGACAGAGAAGGGAAAACAACATTAAAACCATGTTACAGCACACTGAAACAGTAAAAGCAAGGTAAGTAGTGCAGCTCTCAATCAGAAATAAAATGAAGAATCTCACTTGATATTATTAGTTATAATACTATAAAAGAAACATTTTGCAATAAATGAAAATGAACAGGCCACAAAGAAGTGAGAAGACCAAGACTAGACCAGAAAGAATACCTAAAAAAGCCTAAAGGAATCAACTAAGTAGATCAGGAGATGAAAAGGTATTGAGCTATAGTAACGAAACACAAGCATCTCAATTCAAAGTAAACCAAGCATTTTTCTTTCGCCAAGGGCAAATTTTTAAGGAAAAAAGAGTATGGTGAGGAAAGTATTAAAGAAATTTTGGGTTTAGAGAAAACTTCAGCAAATGTATTATAAATAAAATCGTTAAGGGCGGGTGTTGAAGAGAGCATGCCTCTCATCAGACAGGTTTAGGGAAAACTGACTGACAGGAAATTCTTACAAATGCATTGTGTTTGTAGAGAAAAACTAAAGACAACTCACAGAAACTGCCAGAGGTTCATTGAACATGCACAGGCTGACGATGAGGTTGCACGTGTGCTCAATGTTGATGTTATCTCGCACTTGGTACATCAGGAACGGGTGGCCCTGCAGAGGACAACGTCATAGTTAAAATACCATACAGCTGCTCAGGACACATCATTTATTTTTGTTTCAGTAATAGTTTTATGGCACTTACAACATAAATAGGTCACGTAAGTGCAGAAGATTAGAGGTGCGTAAGAGAGTAACAAACACACAACAACAACAAAAAAAGAGGAGGACAGAAAACAACAATAGATGTTTGATAGGAAAGAAGGAGCAAACCTCACCAGAGCACCCGCCAACAACTCACTAGGAAGCACTAGGATTTGACCAGAACAATATAATGCAATGAAATGGCCACACAAAGAAAACACTGAAGGAAGTGCATGCCTCTGTGCCTGCTTCCTTTACCCTTCCACACACACAACCATCCATGAAACTCAGGTGTAACAGTCCTGTAGGCTCAAGGGGGCAGGGCAGGGTTCAAAGTGTTAAGACAATTCAGGAACAGATTTTGTTTTAGTAAGAGTTTTACGGCACTTGCAACACAATAAGGTCATAAAATTGTGTCGAAGATTAGAGAGTAACAAACACCAAAAGGAGGGAAGATAAGTTTGATAGGAAAAAAAGAGTAAACAACACCAGAGCACTCACCAACCACCCACCAGGAAAAGATAGGGCATGATTAAAAGACAGTGTGCAAAAAGATAAGACACAATTGGAAGGGATCAAATACAACAATGCGAGCGATGCTAAGACATGACTGGAAGAGATAAGACATGACAACTTGAAAAAAGGTAAATGAATTGAATGGATAAGACAATACAAAATCAGCAAAGATAAGGCATGACTAGAAGAGATAGACAAGATAAGAAAAAAATAAGATATGATGAGAGGAGAAAAATATAAGATATGATGAGAAGAGAAAATGTATGACACACGAGGAAAGTCAAAACAATACTAACAAAAATAATACTTAATTGTTTTTAGTAAGCGTTTCAAAGCACTTGCAGTAACACAATTAGGTCATGTAAGGGCTGAAAATTAAGACATTTTATAATATAAAAAAAGGAGAGAAAAGGACGATCGATGCTTGATAGTAAAAAAAAAGGAGTAAACCACACCTGAGCACTTGTTAACCACCCATAAACACCCTTAACAAAAAAAAAAAAAAAAGAATTCACAGTGCAATTTCCAACACTCCCAAACCCCGACAGTCGCAAAAACACAACTCACTCTGCCACGTATCAAGTAGTTCATGTCAGAGTCACTGAGCTGCAAGACGTGACCGTCTCGTGACGTCTCCACCAAGTATGCCACAAGAGAAATCAGCTTGCTCAAGGCCACCGGCCGCACCTCGTCTGGAGACATGGAAAGGACTTCCTCCTCATCTTCGTCCGACAGGATTTCCACCTTGTGAAGATAAAGCAATACACAGTATTAGGGGCATTTAGAAGGTGGGTGTGGTTGAGTGTACATGCGTGCGTGTGTGTGTGAGAGAGAATGCATGTGCATTTGTGTGTGTCAGAATGCGCGAGCAAGTGTGTGTCATTTTTTTCTGTGTATGCATATATAAGCAAATATTAATTTGTTCACAGTTACTGCTTTTTGTACTTGGATTTATATAAAGCGCCAAGAGCTGTGTGCCACACTATTAGTTTTACCAGCATTTACATCAGGCTTTCTCACTCTACCTACTCCTCTTCCACTGGTCTCCTTTTTTCACCAATGCTGACTCCTCAGCCAAAAGTTAACACTTTTCTTTTCCACATCCCTTCTTTACAGCGGCTCTTCATGAGGTTGTTAGTGCAATCTCCCTCTTTTTCTTCCACACTTTGGTGGTTTCTGCAGGCTGCCAACAATTTTTGTCAAGGCCCTCTCTTTCTCAAAACTATTCTTTTCTTCCCACTACACTACGCACAAATAACTTTCTCTCTCTGTCCTCCCCCCCTTCCCTCCCCACAGCCCCAACTCTCTCTCTCTCTCTCTCTCATGCATGCCCACATGTTCAACACACTCTCCCTCTCTCCCTATTCCTCTTTTTCCTCCCTTCCCTCTCTCCCATGTACACATGTCCAACTCACATAGTCAGCCTGGCCTCCCATGTAGAAGCGGACCAGCATACTGATGGTGTTGATGGAGTTCAGGAAGGCTGCCGTGGGGAAGTTTGCAGTGGAGTCCTGCAGCTTGGCAAACTCAAACAGGAACGTGAAGTAGTCACTGATGAACTTGTTGGTTGGACGCATGCCACACTCCAACTGCACATGAAAAAAGAAAAATTGATCTTTAAAAAAACCCCAAACCAACCAAAAAAAACAACAAACAAACAACAACAAAAACCCCCCAAGGCACTGTGTATGATTTCCTACAATGAAGTGAAAACAATCTGTCCATTTTTTTAGCACTTTGTGCAGACGTTTTATCAGACGGTCTTGCTCTGTGAGCAGAACCCTTTTGCTGTACAAACCACAAAAACTTTTTATATAGATGGCATTCCCTTATGGAGTAGTACATTTCAATGTCTTGGGAAAGAGGCAATAGGTCAGTATAGCATTAAGTAGACTTTGGATTTCAGAGGTTGTCAACAATTTTTGTCATAGTTGTCTCTTTCTCAAAACTTTCTTCTAATCTTCCCATTACATCACACACAAATACAACCTCCCACCGTTAAGTTAACTATCTGTTTGCAATAAAAGAAGCATGATAGACAAAAAAATTAGAGCCAACCACCAGTAACACTCTCCAGTGAGCCAAGAGAAAACCTTTTACTGACTATGTACTTACATTTGATAACAATTTGGTGATGAATCTGGTCAGGCAGCTGTGACCACAGGTCTCCGCTGTATCCAGGCCAGGGCTGAAAGGAGTTCCAAAGAAACAGATTTGTCAGCAAGAAATAAATGATACATTTATCACCAGTCTACCATCATGAAATGCTGGGAAAAAGCAAGATATATAGACAGAAACAACATAAGGATATATAATTACATCTGTGCCAAATATTTCACAGATATAAAATGAAAAATTGCGATGGCTGAACAGTTTCATTAACACATTACACCCTAAGGGTCTGGACAGGAAGTTCATCGTTAGATCCTAAGCAAGGGGAAAGAACCCACCTCCCGTGAATACAAGCGTTTAAAAAACACATTTTAAAAATACTAAACAAATTCCAAAAACCTTGAAAAAGTAAAAGTTAAAAAGAAAACTGAATGTAGTTTCAGAAAAATATAACTTTAAGCACACGCAAACTGTTGGAAATGTTCTAACTTGAGTTCAATCGGGGTGTCCGACCTGTCTCTTTCACTCTCAGCCTCGCGGTCGGGCCCTAGATCTAAATTCTAGATTTTCTACGTCCGATCAATCTGAATCACCCCAAACTCGTTTACATCAAAATCTGGGCTTGTTTTTGCTCAAATCCATCGTTATTTCCGTTTTCGAACTCAATTGTGTCGCTTTTCAACAAGTCGAGACACTTTAGAAGTGTCGGTAACGCGATCGCACTTCAATCAGCTCTTATACTAAAACTACTGGCCCGAAAAATTTCGTTTCGGTATCAAACGAAAGAATAAACTTTCTGCAATAACTATGCAAATCAAAATCTCGGCCCCAGACAAGGCGAGACTTCGTTTCTAAAGACGCTTGGTCGGCGCGGGCGGTTCCGGTCGAGTCAGGGTGGAGCGCGTAAGGGAATTCCCGGGCAGTCCCGGGCGAGTTAGGGTGTAATGTGTTTAAAATAAGCCCAATCCTGAAAACCAGAAACATCTCAATGACTACCAAAATGAAAGTTCTAAAATGTTAAGTGTGGTCAGCCCATCTATATTACTGTGAATGCTGAATAACTATTAAAGGCAGTGAAAATAAATGAGAAGCAACAGAAATGTGGTTTCTTAGGTACTTGCTGAGAATTTCTTGGAAAGAAAAGAAATTGAACGAGTTGTTACTTTGTTTTGTTTTGGTAAGAGTTTTACAGCACTTGCAACACAGTAAGGTCATATAAGCGCTGAAGATTAGTGTTAAAAGAGAGTAACATACACAAAAAAGATAGAGGAAAGATAAGAACGATGGATGTTTGATAGGAAAGAAGGAGTTACACACCAGAGCACCCACCAACCGCTCACTTGGTAAGACATTTACGGCACTTGAAACAAAATTAAGTCATATAAGTGTCAACAATTAGAGAAGTTACAAGAGAGCAAAAAACAAAAAAGAAGGAAGAGAGACAGGACAATTAATGTTTGATGGGAGAGAAAGAGCAAATCACATTAAGAGCCCCCACCAACCACTCACGCCAAATCACTTCACGAGACACCTTAGACCTTAGATATACAGAAATACATGGTGAGGCAAAAATTACCTGAGCAGTATGTACTGGGTGCTGGCCTTGCTTAGCTGAGTGATCATCATGATGAGAAGCCTCTGGAACATCTGCCGGATGACGGAGTTGGGACACTTGATGAGGATGTGCTGCAGCCACCAGTCCTGGCCCGCCATGTGCTCCAACAGCCACTGAAACACACACACACAAACAGATACATCTTGAATTTGGTTGAAAAGAAGCACATCAACACAATAACTATCATTTTTGTGTAGAGGAACAAATATTTAAAAAGGCAGAATCAAAAGAAAGAAAGAAAAAAGCACGAACCCCCCACACACACACACACACACATGCACGCACGCACACACACACACACAAGACAATACTGAACTGAACTGAATGGGTAAACAGCAGAGCACTGACACAGACAGCCATTTAGTGCAAGGAAAGAGTAAGAAGACAGACAGATAGAAATAATCTAGGGAAAGAAAAGCAGTACGAGCAATCATCCGCAGACTCCAACCACCTGCCAGAACACTACTGGAAACCCATAAAATTGTTTATCAACGACAAAAACATTAATTCTTTTTTTTTAGTAGAGGTTTTGCGGCGCTCGCGACTGAATACGGTCATATGATTGCCAGAAAGTGTTACAAGAGAGTATCAAACATAAAAAAGAAGAAAGAAAGATAAGGACGATAGATGTTTCATAGGAAATAAGGAGCAATAATAGACAAGCTGAAATTGAATCAAAATTCAAGGTCAGAACAACATCAGAAGCTCACAATGAGTAACACAGAAAATAAATAAGAGTACACAAACAACGAAAATAGCTCACTTGTTCAGATGTACATAAAACACATAAAAATAACTGACATACACCTTGACAAAGTGAGAAGTAAAAGTACGGAAAAGATAACCTCATGCACTTCTATTTACCTCACAAGGGCCCAAGCAGCTGTTGAACTTCTTCATGAGATAGTCAATCCACTTGGGCATGGAATTCTGCGGAGGAATGATGATTTCAAACTTAATCTCTCTCTTTCTCGCTGTCTTCATTCCCAGATGCTTAACTGAAGAGACTAAAATATTACCTCTATTCTGTAAAATATCTTAAAATCGAACAAATATTTGATTTAAAAAATGGCAAAGATACAATTGCATTAAAAATAAAGAGTTGTAATCACCAAGTAATGAAAGCTGAAATCTCCAAAGAGAACACCTTTTTTTGTGGTGTTTGCCTTTAAAGATGCTCACATGGGATCTTTGCACACTCTTCAAAGATGAAAAAAAAAGAAAGACAAACAGAGGGAAAGAAGAGAAAAAAGTCCTACCAGTGACACTCTCCAACCACCAAATGGTATACAAAATGCCTTTCTCTTTAAAAAAAATCTACTGATGTATTCAATTCCCATAACATTTCCCGTTCTTCACACGCAAGACAATGGTCGAGACAAGAAAAATGCAGCAGAAAAACAGATGACTCGATGGAACAAGCACAAACGGTCTTTTTACCTTTTCCTTGGCGTGTATGAAAGACTCGAGTAGGAAGCACGAGGCTAAAACCACGGCTTTGTGATTGGCGCGGTCACTCACGTCCACGGTCAGGGTGCTCGGGAGGTGGGAACACATCTGCCACATGTGGCTGCAGAGACAAGGCGACATTTAGTGAGGAGCCTTTTTCTAAAACCCAGTATCTGCCATTCCTATTTTAGTGAGAAACTTGATAAAATCGTTTCCTGGACCGACCCAGGAATGGGGACGATTTCCATAAAACAGATCGCTATCACATATAAAACATAAAATGAATAAGTCTTGAGTGTGTGTTTGTGCGTGTGTTTTAAGAATAAGCCATGAAAACAGAAAAGGTATGAAAAAAACCCCAAACAAGCTCATTACCCAATTTTAAGGAAAATCGCAAAACAGAATAGAAAGACAGCACAAAGCTTGACAAAAATTAAATCAGGGGACTGAAATTACTACAACAACAAAATTATCAAATTTTGCTACTCATTTACAACAGATCACTGGACATTTTGTGCCACTTACAAATACAAGCAAAACAAAAAGTACACGACAGGCCTATTTCATAGACTATCATCTCTGTGTCTCATCGACAAATCCATGGAATCCATACAAATTGCACTTTAAATCTTTCCCTATCAGTCCATTTATACAGCCATTTTTTTTCTATTTGACTGTACTCAGATGAAAAATAATTAGCTTTTTTTTATTTATAAGAGAAACTCCAAAGTGTCATATATCAAAATGCAAAGAAAGGAATGTCCTATCAGACAGTTCAGACAAAAAAGTAATCTGAGCATAAAATAATGGTATGTGTTAGTCTGAAGACTCTAGCGGTAGAAGAAATAAGGATTTTGTCAAGCCGTAAAATGCGGCTCAAGGCCAAAAGGCATGGGTCTTGGAAGTCTCAAAAAGTGAGTTAAAAAGGTAATAAGGTTGAAAGAGGCTCCCCTGTTCAATCATGACAAGCTGAAGACTTACTCAAAATACATGCGGTCAAAGATGCTGCGGTCCTTCAAGAACTGTGTGTTGTCATTCCAGATCCACTGAAGGGGAGAACGGAAGAAAAAAAAAATTCATGCATTATCAAACAATCAAAACAAAAAAATAGAACAAAATATTGTGCCAAATTGTAAAGGTTTAACACCCCTTGCAACACTGAAAGGTTATTCAAACGACAGGACCAACAAATTAAACGTCCATCCTCGATAGGACAGAGCCAAAAGGGAAAATTTGAGCAAAGTGCCTTTCCCAAGGACACAATGTTGGACTGATCTGATGATCAGACCCTCAAAACCGCAATCTTATTGATTCGAGTCTGGTAGCCTGACCACTAGTCTACTGATACCACCTGCACAGGAAGTAGCCATTGAATAATGTTGTCGAAGGGGAGGAATATTTTGATACTTTTAATTTCTCTCCGCTCCCATATTGATACAACAATGACTGTTTGCATACCCTATAACCATAACAAAAAAGGAAACACTGTCTGATTGCCCATTCTGTCAAGATTTTGTAGGGGTAAAATTGTTGCAAAATAACGAAAGGTATGGGAGCAGAGATAAATCGTCAGCTATAGCCAATGTGACTGAATGCGTTATCAGTTCACATGAAAAAAATAATAATCACATACATAATACTGCATTCTAAGGTGTTTTAAGAACTAGCAAATTACTCAGCACTGTTTAGAACATTTACAGAAAGAAGTAAAAGTTGCAGCAGTAATCAACATCCTTGAGTTAACAACCAACAGAAGGAACAGGAATTAAGAGCTTGAATTTGACTGAAAACCTATGTTAGTGAGTTTTCTTTTTAATTCTATGAGAACATGAGGAAAGAAGAGGTATTGAAATACAAAAAAATAAATAAACAGGCCTCATGTCAGATTGAGGAAATTGCAAACACTTACAGCAGCCAAATCTGGTGACAATTCAAAGTTGAACTCCTGAGTGTCCTGAATCATGTTGGGCGACACACGTTCATAAAACAACATGTAAGCACTGTTGGTCTGGAAAAAAACAAAAACATTCCAAGTTTGGGTTCACTTGTTGACAGGTGATTATTTACAGCAAATTACCATGACAAATGCCACATTTCGCCAGGAACAGATCTATAGGTGAATATGCACACATAAGTAAAGCAGCTTGGTGAAATCAGGCGCTTGTCAAAATAATAAAATCAAAGAAATTGGCATTTTTTTGTCCGATGGGCAATTGTCTTCTTTTTTTTGGGGGGGGGGTAAACACCATTTATGTCCATTTAAAAACACATTTCTGTGTGGATTTTACAGAAAAGCATTGATTAAAGGCACAAAAAATGTAAATTTCCAGTTTCAAAGGACTCTCAGGGTATGGAAGTTAACTAACTTTGGCGGCCATTTTCTCGCTAATTTTACCTCTGAAACCAGGCGGCCCTGACCTCCTTCAATCGCAAATATTTCCACTTCTATTCACCATAAATAGACAGGCTTTAAGACGATACCAATAACCCCAAATGCCCAAAAATTTACAAGCGCCTGATTCCATCATGTCGCAACACATATACATGTTCTATCCTCTACAATCTTAAATTTGAGAGAAAAAAGAAAGAACACAAGCTACTTCAATTTTTTCCACAGAAATTAACTACAACAAAGCATTTGTAAAAGTATGTGGAAATACAGTTAACAAGTTAAAGTTTGCTCTAGATTTTAAAATGCTACTCACCTTCTCAATTGGGAAGTCCAAATACTTGTCTGATACTGTATCATAATGCTTGCCTTGCAGCAGAGGGAACTGGCAGGAAAGAGAAATAGGGGTGGGGAAGGAAAGTTTTCTTTATTAATTTGTAAAAATGAAATCATGTAAAACGCACCCAAGTACATCATTGTTAGAGTATAACACTGTCAATATATGACACTTAAAAACAAAAACAAAATAATAGGAATAAGATTTTACTCATGCAAATTGAAAGAGACAATCTTATCAATTCATAAATTAAACTTTAAAAAAAAGGATTTCACTTCTAAAAACCGTCCATTCTCAACAAGGAGCTGGGCCAAAAAGCTTGAGCCCACAGTCAACTGGATAAAGACAGCACCCTCCCCACCCCACACACATACCAAAAAAAAAGCAAAATAGAAAAAGAAAAAAGGGTGAGAAGAAAGGAATAAAAATACTCCAGTAACACTGCAAGCTCAGTTAAAGCGATGGCATCTAGACGTCCAAACAGATTGGGGAAAGCCATTGGTGGAACTTCACCCACTACTGATAATTTTCTTGATGTTTTTAACGCCAGGGGTTGTAGGTGGTCACAGCTGTATATGGAAGTACATCTCACAGCAATAACACTCACATTCATTTCACCCCCGAAAGCCTCATGAGGGATGTTGCTTGGATCAAAAGGCTTCACGTCTGCGTCATTGAAATGGTACCTGAGGGGGATAAAATATGGTGAAAAGTGTTGAACAAAAACCAGGGCATGCTAGCAAAATTTAAAAATTTCGGTTCAAATCAAATTGCGTTTAATCAAAGAGAAGCTGTTCCACAAAAATTTCCTTAAATAAAAAAGAGCTATGCACCTAGAATATGGCCATGAATTTGCACTCTAGTCTTACTGCTTGAGCTTAGGGACAAACTAACCATTCAATCAGAGATTATAACTTCAAAGGCATACACTTATATGTATATCCCTTTTGTCTCTTACACAATAATCCTTACAGTGATAAAAATTGAGATGTAAATCATCAAATAATACAAGTTTCTCAGAAATTGCGAAACAACAAAGAAAAAGATAACAGGTTTACAGTTAGAAGTGTGTTGGATTTTCTGAGACTGTTGGAAAACTAAGCAGAGAAAGACAGAGAATAAGTTACTTAAAGTAATTTGAAAAGACGGGTGACAAAATGAACCACTTATTGCACTCAACTATTTCAAAATATAAAGTAACTTTTGAGTTTCTAACTCCAAGTGACCACAACTTGGAAAAAAAAATCCAGCTCAACTAATACCCATTTACATTCACTTGTGGTTCTTGAACAGATTTTTAATTGAAATATGATCAAAACACCTTTTGTCATGTTGCTACACATAAAGGTTTTCAAGAGTATCAAAGCTCAAAAATGAGTGATAAACCATGATCACTGATGGGGTTGTTTTTTTTTCAGATGTGGTACACGATAAAGAAGAAAAAGAAGGAAAAGAAAACAGGTCATCCCCATCATCAATGGCATTGGCAGACAAGGGAAGGAAACTTACATACATGCAGAGGCACACCCTTTGGTGGACTACTGTATGTATTTGAGGAGACTTGAGGAGGGAC